ACACTGGGAACAGGCTCCAGCTGTTCGTCTGCCTCACTGCTGTCTGACTCTGAAGGCAGCTGATAACTGGCATATGGCCCTAGTCCCCTCTCTTCCTCCGACACAGAGCCCTCATCAGAGCCTTCCCCAGACACCAGGACTGGCCCAGGTTCCTCTCCAACCTCCTCACTGTCCAAATCTGCTGCCAGCTCGTGCTGGCCGCTGGCAGGACGCCAACAACTCTGTGCTGTGGATACTGTCCTCTGTTGAAAAGAACATTTGATGGGTTGGTACAATAGATGGAAAAACATTACAGGAGGTGATTTGAACCTGATTCTCTTTCCCCACAGCGCCCACTGTATCCTGGGCTTCAGAGTCCTGTATTGCCCGCTGGAGGTCTCCCTGGACGTGGACTACCAGGATACCCCTTCCTCTCTTCCACCCCATCAGGTATGGTCCACGCAGGGTTTCCGGGTGTGAATAAAGTACCTCATCTCATCATCTCCGAAGCCAATCCTAATGATCTTCTGGCACTTACGTTTGTTTAAGTTTCTATGTCCTTTGAAAATTGTCCTAACCCTGGTAGCAATAGCACTTAGAGCAGGGGTGTCAAACTCGATTTCATTGAGGACCGCATCAGGGTTGTGGTTTATCTCGGGGGGGGGCGGCGGAGTGGGCTTGGCCATTTGTGTTGGCACCTGTGGTGCTCTGCCAGCGAAAACAGTCTCCAGTGCTCTGTTTTCGGCAGGGATGGCCTCCTGCAACCCTCGGCCACTGAAAACAGAGCTTGGAAGGGCCGTGCGAGCTCGGGAGCCCATTTTCGCTGGCAGAGGCACTGCGGGCCACTCCAGAGTGGCTCTCTGGGCCAGATCTAAGCACCCCTCGTGCCGTATCCGTGCCGTATCCTACCCACGGGCCTTGAGTTTGACACTCCTAACCTAGACTTATATACCACTTCACAGTGCTTCATAGCCCTCTCAAAGCGGTTTACAGAGTCAGCCTATTGGCGCCAACAATCAGGCTCCTCACTTTACCAACCTCGGAAGGATGGAAGGCTGAGTCAACCTTGAGCCTGGTAAGACTCGAACTGCTGGCAGTCGGCAGACAGCAGAATTAGTCTGCAATATTGCAGTCTAACTACTGTGTCACTATGGCTCAGTGGTAGCTGTAAAGCAGTGTGTCAGCATTCCAAATAGCATCGAAAAGTAAATCAGAATCCAAGGCAAAGTATTGCTCAAAGTTCCAATTTATTAAGAGAGCCATGTTGGCACTTCCGGGAAAACCCGAATCTGAAAGCTTCCCGGTTTTCCCCACCCAGTTGAAAGTTCAAGATCTTGCCCCCCACACCCACAAGTCC